ATTTACTTTCAACGCGACTCGACCGGACGGTCGTTTCGGTATTTTCCTTGAACCCACAGTCTTCTGAGCGAAGACTACCATTTCATCCAATCAGTCCATTGGGCTGCTTATCCTTCATGTACTGCGCGAACTGTTTTACACTTGTTGGACTCTCTAGATTGTAGCTTTCAGCATCTGGGTTTGGTCTAACTTATGTTTGCCAGTTTGATAACATATGCGCATGCCTCAGACTATCCCACCATGGCCTATGATTAAGGATTCTCGACAGAATTCAAAACGTCAGGAAAATAAAACTCGTGTTCCATTGATCGCATCTTCTTCTGCTAAGCTGCTTCCTAGAACTCGCATCTTTACTTCTGTTGACGATAACATTTTTGTTAAACTTCAACCACGAGTGCCTATGCTATGTGCTTTTTTGACCTTATTTCACAGGTTGTTTCTTCTCTCGTCGATTACATATCAGCGGAGGACCGTCCCTGGTTTTAATTTCTGTCAATGGCATGCTTTGGTATTCACACAATCGCAAAGCTAACTCCTCTCTGCCAGATCCAGCCGGACAGTTTGCGTGGCTGAAGTCCACGCTTTCGCAGGCTCGTGAATCAAACTCTAAGGTATTAATTCATGTGGTTACAAAAAACCTACTGATACAAATTTAGTAGTACTGAATATTACAAGGAATTCCTGGACTTTTAGGTGCTCCTAATTTGCCACTTCCCACCGGGCGCCACTGAGAACAGCCCCACAAAATATCGACATTTCTTTGACAACTACAATCAACGTTTCATTCGCCTACTGCGTGAGAATACGGACATCCTTATTGGTGGTCTGTTTGCCCACCAACACACTGATACCTTCCGTGTACTGAAAGAAGAAGGTAAGTGTGTGTCTGATTTAACCGGGCTTGTGTGTGTATGCGCCACGTTTGATCTTTTTTGCTGTGCTTTGCATTCCGTTCAGAAGATTTCTGCGGCAACTTTTGTTGCGTCCACCCCACAGGGCACTTGCATCGGTCGAACTATCGTCCTTGAAGAGTTACTCAGCGCGCACTGATTGGTTAAGTGACCCATGTACAGCGGAAAATTTACGCTACCGGCAGAGCCAAGGGAGATTCGAATGACCATTTCTAGCTTATTAGCCGTCGTCAGTCGGTGGCGCACCACCCGAAGCTCAAACCTGCAATCTGATCCGACGCTCACCGATCTGGGCCTGGGCGCGCGCTTCTCTACTAGCTTGAATGCGGGCGTGGCTGTAAATGAGTCATCATCGCTGCAGTTCGTGTCTGCTCAATTCCATATTTATTAAAACTACCCATATGCTAGCGCTTCCTTAGTAAAACTTGTTTTCTATTTGCCAGCTCCGCCATGCTGGAAGGCGGCGAGTAGATTTTTGTTTATCGTGTGTCACATTCACGCTCAAGTGCATCAATCGGTTGTGGACAGCACTGAGAGTCTTAGAGACTTTATGCACATCCTAAACCAAGTTTCTTAAGGATTTTCAGAAACACTCGAGGAGTTTGCTTTCTGATTGATATACCTTAAAAATTAATTTCTGTTCGCGGTATTCGTCAGTATATTTAGAGTCTATAGGCGTAGACTGACCTGGGCTGTTAGCATGGTAGGTAACACCATCAATACAAACCACTATAGCCTGTCCGTTTGCAGCAGATGTATATTACGCAGTAGGTGACATGTTTCCGCCCAAATATACACTTAAAATGTCGGTCTTTGGCGATAGACCTTAAATATACTGATTTTAACCGTGAACAGAAACAGGAAATTAAAAAGCTAAACTTTCAAAACTTGTATACCAACCAGAAGGCAAACAGGGAACGCTAGGAGACCCACTGATGAGCCGGACCTCTCGCAGCCGTATCAAGCAGCGCCAAACTGCCGGCGAAACGCGTGTCTGGATTGTGTTGCGTTGACCTAGGGAGGGGAGGGGGGCATGTTCAAGTGGTCATTAGGCACCCGAGACTGTTAAGCATGCGCCTGTGTACGCGCGTGTGTGTGCGAGTGGAATGCCCGTCAAGTGTCTTAAGGTCAGCGAGTGAAAAACAGCCGCCTACGAAGATATGTGACGTTGACAAAGCGAGCATTGTTGACCGTCCGCCACAGATGTAGATGCAGGTTGAATAAGTCTTTAATAGGACCGAACTGAGTAGACCTAACCCGTCTTGTTTTCTTCTTCTTCAGAGGAGCCAGCCCTTCCCCTCCTCTTCGGTCCCTCCATCTCTCCCTGGCGTCTGGGCGGCCTCGGCGCCTTCAATCCCCGCGTCCGG